GTAACTCTGTTTAATATCTAAGTATGTCAAAGATATGGCAGTGAAGATATGGCGTTTCTTCAATGCCTAATGTTGAGCATCTTTTCATGTACTTATTGACTATTTATAGATCTTGCTTGAAGAAATAGCTATTCAAATCCTTTGCCCATTTTTAAATTGAGTTGTCTTATTGTTGAGTTATAAGAATTCTTTCTATATTCTGCATACTAGACCCTTAGGAGATCCATGATTTGCAGAGATTTTTCTCCCATTCTTTGGTTATCTTTTAACTTTCTTGATAGTGTCTTTGAAGCACAAAATTTTTAATTTTGATAAAATCCAATTTATTTTTTCTTTTGTTGCTTGTGCTTTTGGTGTCGTATCTAAGAAACCATTACCTAATCAGAGGTCATAAAGATTTATACTTATATTTTCTTCTAAGAGTTTTAACGTTTACATTTAGGTCTTTTATCTGTTTTGAGCTAATTTTTATATGTGGTGTGAGGTAGGAATTCCAACTTAATTCTTTGGCATGTGGATATCCAGTTGTCCCAACACTGCTTTTTGAAAAGACTATTCTTTCCCCATTTAATTTCTTGGCACTTTTCTGAAAATCATTTATCTATAAATGTATGGATTTATTTCTGGACTCTTAGTTCTTTTCCATTGGTCTATACGTCTGTCCTTATACCAGTACCACTCTGTTTTAATTACTGTTGCTTTGTAGAAAGTTTTGATATGGTGAATGTGAGTCCTCCAACTTTTTTCTTCTTTTTCCAGATTGTTTGGCTATTCTGGGTCCCTTGCATTTCCATATGAATTTTAGGATCAGCTTATCAGTTTCTGTAAAAATGCCAGCTGAGATTTTGATAGGGATTGCATTGACTCTGTAGATTAATTTGGTGAGTATTGCCATCCCATGATTATTGCCTTCCAATCCATGAACATGGGATATCTTTCCATTTATTTAGATCTTTTATAATTTCTTTCAACATTGTTTGGTAGTGTTCAATGTACATGTCTTGCACTTCCTTCTTTAAATTTTTTCCTAGGTATTGTATTCTTTAAGTGCTCTTGTAAATGGAATTTTTTAAATTTCACTTTTGGATTATTCATTGCTAGTATATAGAAATATAGCTGGAGAAATGTCTTGCCCATTTATGATTATGTTTCCTTTTAATTTTATATCCATCTTGTATCCTGCAACCTTGCCGAACTAGTTTAGCTTTGATAGTTTTTTGTGGATTTCTTATGATTTTCTACATACAAAATCATGTCATCCACAAATAGAGATAGTTTTATTTCTTCCTTTCCAATCTGGATGCCTTTCATTTTTTTTTCCTTGCCTAATTGCCCTGGCTAGAACCTCCAGTATAATACTGAATAGAGGCGAGGGCAGCCATCCTTGTGTTGTTCCTGATCGTAGGGGGAAAGCATCCTCCTCTCACTATTAACTGTGATGTTAGCTTTGGGTTTTCCGTACATGCCTTTTATCAAGTTGAGGAAGTTCCCTTCTATTCCTAGCTTATTGCGTGTGTTTTATCCTGAAAAGGGGTCAGGTTTTGTAAAATGGCCTTTTCAATGTTTATTGAGATGATCGTGTGGGGTTTTTCCCTTTATATTAACATGGTGTTTTCTATAGATTAATTTTTGTATGTTGAACCAATCTTGTGTTCTTAGGATGAATCCTGCTTGTTCGTTACCTCTTCTTTTAATTAAGCAAATGTCTTAATTTTTCAGAGCCACTTTCTCCAAAGAACTAAGTAATAGTGATATTTACGAACTGTATACTCACATGCTAGGCATCATGACAACTGCTTTATCTGCATTTTCCTTTAATCTTCACAGCAACTTTACAAGGGATTATTATCCCCATTTACTGATGAGAAAAATGAGACTTAGAGAGGTTACGTGATTTGCACGCTGCTGGTAAGTGGTGGATCTGGGATACTTGAGAGTCTGTTAGACTCTAATGCCTCCCCGTGTCTCAGTGAATTGATGGGGTTGCTGAGATAGGAAGGGAATGAGAAAACGTACATCCCACTGCAGGTCTGCAAATTCTGCCTGAGTGCCCTGGAGCCTGTGATGTCCTTTCAACCCCCTCTTCAGAGTGAGAATGTGAGATTTTCTAGCTTGGTGAGCTGTAAACTTTGGTGCCTCATTGGTTTCTTTGTCTTCCGCCAGAGCCACCTTCTCTGGACCCTGCCCTTCCCCAAGAGGAAAGCACAGGAGAGGAAGGAATGGTGGCTGGCCTCCTCACAGCTGGCCCCCACGTAAGTTGGAAATTTACTGTGAGAGGCAGCCTCTCTTTTTCTTTTTAATATTAAGGATTTAAAAAATATTTTTTAATTACAAAAGAAATTCATGTTCATTGTAGAAAACCTGTAAAATATAGAAAACACACACAATATTACCCTTCATCCCACAAAGAGATAATTAACATTTTTGTTTGTGTCCTTTCAGTCATATTCTTCCTTTTTTGTTTTCCCAAAATGGGTTTGTTCTGCTTTGTAACCTTCTTTTATTTCCACTTAGCAGAATTTGATGACTGTTTCCCCCGTTTCATTAAGAGTACTCCGCAGAATCTTTTCTGATGTATTTCACTGCGTAGGTCTTCTGTGAGGGTAGGAGCTGCCTTCCCCCCTCTCTTCTTGACTAAACTAGGTATCGTTCCATTTATTTTCATTTTTAGAAAATCTGCTCTTGGGTTTCCTCATCAGTTCTATTCTTGATTAACAAATTTTTCTTTATTAGTTTTTTGCTTCTGCTCTCCACAGATTTGTTTTAAAATTCATTTTTTTTTTAACCTCTTGAGTTAAATCCCTAATTGATTTTCTTCCTTTCTTGTTTGTATTTAAAGTTTTTGCCTGTGGTTTTATTTTTTTTAGATATTCCAAAATTGTCACTTTGGTTTCTTTTCCCATTGGGCTGGTCTGTGCTCATGGGGACAGAGTCTTTGTCTCTTGTCAGCATGAAACAGCAGTATAATGTGATTGCAGGGCATAGCGTTTGGCGGCTCTGTTAGCTCAACCTTATTCATTAAATTGCTCAGTTCTTCCATACCTTTATTTTTTGTTTGCTATTAACACCCAACAACTAAGTTGTTTTAACATCTCTCTTAGCTGTAATATTTTAAATTTCTCCTTGAACTTCCTACAGTTTTTCCTTTATGAATTGTATATTTGTTATTTGGTTCATAATACTTACATCTTTATAGTGAATTGTACTCTTCGTTGTTATAAAATGACCCAAATGTTTTAAATATTTCATAGTTTTAAAAAATGACCCTCTTTGTCCCATTTAATGCATTTCTCAGTGTTAAGGATGAATTGAAAGAACAAGTAAAATTAGAGGTCAGGAAACTAGTTATAATTTGAGAAGTGATGCTGGCTTAAAACAAGACAGCACTGGGGCATGTAGAGAGATGAGTGAATTCTAGAGATACTGAGGAGGAAGAACGAATAGGCAATTGATTTGTGGGGAGCTGCAGGAAAGGGGATAACAACACTCAGGTTTCTGATATGCCAGCGAGGTGAATGAGGTACCATTCCCTGAGCTTAAAATAGGCATGGAGACTTTCTCGCCTTCATGACTTTGCTCATGGTGTCTCCCCAGCCTTCATATTCTCTTCCTCCATCTGAGGAACTTTCCTCAAGGCTGGCTCAGTGATTGCCTTCTCCCTGTGGTCTTCCTTCATTGTCCTGCCCCTCCTCTCCACCCGGGATTCTTCTGTTATCCCAACAACTGGTCTGTCCATCTGTTTGACACATACTACAGGTGGTTGTGTACCTGCCTGGCTCTCCTCCTGTACTGTGTGACGTCGGAGTTCACAGGAGTATTTATTAAATGTTCTGGAAACATTCAGCTTTCACATTTCTTTGCTAATTTGCACCTGATTCCTCATTGCATAAACTCATACATTCTAATTTTGTCTTTTCTGTATTGGCTCTTTTAATCCCCAAGCACCTGTTAGTTTCTGTCCAATTACTGCTCATATATATACACATTTTCTATCCATTTATATACAGTCTACCAGAAGTTTAAACATGTGAAGACAAGACAGACTGTATTTTATTTTGTGTGTCAGTGTCCAGTATAGTGTTAAGCACATAGGAAGTGATCAATAAAAGCTTTTCTGAAACTACCCAGAGCCCTGACCCCTTTCAAAGACCCTTTCCAGGCCATCTCACCCAGGGACATATCCCCTCCCCCATATCCTAAGGCCACTGGACTAGAAGGAATGTGATTCTGTTTCAGGGATCCATGCCCTTCGGCAGTGTGACTGAAGCTTGTACCCAGGAGGGGTGGAGGCACTCGGTCCCTGCTCCGCAGGACAGGTTCAAGGAAGGGATACCAGAAAAGTCCAGAAACCTGGTCCTACTGGGTAAGGAAACCATTTAAAATTCCAAGTCTGCTCAATTCTGAAAAGTTGTGGCACTCTCCAGTGCTGAGTGATGGGGAACTGCTCTGATGCACCCTGGGGATCGTGTGTATTCCTCCTCGTTCCCTAGTGAAAGGTCTCTGGGTTCCCAGGAGGGGGAGGTGACCTTCAGGCCAGTTCTTCCATATTCAGTGAGTTCCTGTCTTCCTATAGCTTGCTTTATGGGCTTAGCTTAACTCCCTGGCTTGACCCCTCCTTGAGGGTGTTTCTTTAGCTCCTTCCAGAAGTGCTTTACCAAGACGTTGACATCATATCTGTCTTATTTACTGCTGTATCTCCTGGTGCCCGGCACTAAGTAAGTGCTCAATAAAGAGTTGTTGAATGAATGACCTAATTGACCTTTTTCTGCTCCCTTGAGTTCTTGGTGGCCATTTGTACTTAGTACAGATCTCTAAAGCCCATTTTTTCCCCTTGACTAGGACTTCCAGTATCCCAGGCTGGCATGAACTCTCAGTTGGAGCAAAGGGAAGGCTCGTGGGTGCTGGAGGGAGAAGGCCTAAGGAGTCCCTGTCCAGGTGAGTGGGCAGGCATGAAGCCCATGGAGTCTCGGGAGCAAAGGCCCCTTTGAAGCATACATTGGTGCATTTGATTCGTTTATCAGCGCTGGGAAGGAGATATTGTTATTCCCATTCTACAGCTGAGGAAATTTAAGCTGAAAGAGGCTGACTCGCTGGTTCAGACCCTCACAGCTAGAAAGCGGTGAGGCTGGGGTTTGAGGCAAGGTCTGTTGGACTCCAAAGCCTGCTATTCCATGCCGCCTCCTCATCAAGTCTCCCCGGGCTGGGAGACGTTTGGGGCACAGGTGGTATTGCTAGCCCTGGGGGAATGCATCATCTGCGCTGGCCTAGCAGCTTGGCCTTCGCCTGACTGAGGATCTCAGGTGCCCACCTTTACCCATACCTCCAGCTGTCACACCTGCAGCTGCTCCCCTCTCTGGCCCTTAATTGGATTCTAGCGCCCCCTTCCCTTCTCTCCCTTTACTTGGCTATGCCAGAATTTTCTAAAGATACTAAAAAACTCAGGAAAAATAAAAGTAAGGGAAACCATAATTTCCTTGTTTCTCTCGCTATTCATCTATGGTTGCGCACCCCACCTTGATCTTCATATTTCAGCCCCTGCTGTTGTGGGACCTCTGGCTGGGCCTCAGTAGCTTTTCCCTGTGATTCCAGCCACTTTTGATATTTTGAAACTGAAAGCCTCAGAGGTACCAAGGAACTTAACCACTTTCAAGTGACAAAGTTTTAAATTTTTCTCATAATGCAGCCTAATGCTTCATATCTGTGCTTAGTGATTATTGTTGCTGTAGGGCAATGAAAACAAAGCCCTGGCTGATTTTCTACATGGTTCGTCTGAACTCTCTTCTCCTTCCCGTCTTGTCATCCTCTTTCTGAGCGGCCTGTCCCCCATCACCTCAGCCCTCTTTGTTACTACAGACACCCCCATCCTTGCTGAAACACCTCCTGCAGGGAGCCTCGCTAGTCCTGCCACTTCCTTCTCCCTCCCAAGAGCCCCGCCTTCCCAGCACTGTGTTTGTTGTGCAGGGCCTTTTAACCTGACCACAGACCCTGTATGGAGCTTCAGAAATTGAATGCGGTGTTTTGTGGCTACGGCAATAACTGCATTTTTCTGCAAAAAGGGTTCATCACAGTCTCAGAGGGGTTTAAGATCCTAAAAGGTTACTCAGAAAGGTTCCAGTGACCATGTTATTAGAAACAGAAGTTGGGAGACAGTGCTACCACCAAGGGTCTGTGCTCCGAGGTCGTAGTGTCGAGTATAGTATGGAAGCAACTTTGCATACAGACCCATGAAAGACAGGCATTCAGGTCCTTACCTGCTATGTGGTAACTACATGGATTCAAAGTAAACCACTAAACGAGGTGGTTATTTGTTTCTATGTCTGAAAAATGTGGATAACAAAACCTTTCTTACTTATTTTATACACTAATACATGAGAAAAAAAGTTTTCAGTGATGGTGTGCTGTATTAGCTCTATGATAGGGAAGTGGTTAGAGGAAAGTGTTAAATCTGGCTATGACAGTGACTACAACACTGCTTCTGTGGGGTTACACCTCTGCTCTGAGACCATAGAGCATCCTGGGCATCGCTGCGCCTCCTGGGCCTCTCTTCTCCCATCCCACCCTTCCCACTCTGATAGACCCAGGTCTTTAAAGTAGCTCTGTCTCACTGCTGGCTTTGGGAACTTCTGTCGCAGACGCTGTTTCCCTAGACCCAGCTGATCGGTCTGCCTCATTCTCACTCATTTTGCTATTCCTTCAGTCAACAAATGTGAATTAAGCATTTGGTACATGCCTGGTATTGTTTTAGCTACCGGAGGTACAACGGAGAACAAGACATAGCCCCTGCTTATATCCTAGTGAGGAACATAAATAAAATGAGGAAACAAAATAACTGATATCCTACTGGATAGTGGTGAACACTGTGAGGAAAACAAAGTCGCATGGGGGTAGTGACTGTGGGTACAAAGATGAGAATGGGAATACGGATGGGGTGGGGGCTCTTTTAGATCAGATGAATAGGAAAGACCACTTTGAGGAGGTGACATTGGAGCTGAGATCTGAAGGAAGAGAATGAGCCAGCCATGTGAGTACCTAGGAGAGGAACATTCTGGGCCACAACATGTACCAAAGCTCAGAGTTGGGAATGAGCCTGGCTTGTGTTAGGATCAGAAAGCCGTAGGACTCAGTAAACAGCAGGGAGAGTGGAAAGCAGGGGGTGGATCACGGTGGGGTTTGGAGGCCACGGCAAGGCATTCAGATTTTATTCAGATAGGAAGTTGGGAAGCCACTGAGGGTTTTGAGCAGGGAAGGGACAGTGCAGTCATGCACTGCATAGTGGTATTTCGGTCAACAACAAACTGCATTTATGCCCCTGGTCTCATAAGGTTAGTACTGTATAGACTAGGTATACCATCTGGGTTTGTGTAAGTACACTTGATGATGTTTGCACAATAACGAAATCGCCTAATGATGCATCTCTCAGAACGGATCCCCACTGTTGAGCGATGCATGGCTGTATTTGTGTTTAAAAAGATAACTCCGTGGATGTGGAGAATCGACTTTCAGGGTTCAAGAGTAGAAGGAGGAAGATCAGTTAGGAGTCTGTTGCAGACATTCCAGAGAGACATGAGCGTGGCTCATCAGCAGGAGTTGGGGCCTAATCTGGTGTGAAAGCCAACAGGACTTGCTAGTGAACTGGATGTGAGGGATAGAGGCTTGAAGGATGACCCTGGCCTGAGCAGTTGGGTGAAAGGGAAGACTGGCAAAGACACTGGCTCAAAAGGGAAAATCAGCAGTTCTGTTTTGGGTATATTTGGCTTGGGATGTCATGGGACAGTTTTATACAGGAGCCAGCACCCAAGGGAGAGGTGGCTGAGGTGTGACAATTCATGAGCATCACATGGTCTCCTGAATTGCTTCTTTTTCCCACTGCTTTTCTTGTCACTATTCTTCTTCTTTGCATCTTTTACTCAGATAGATGGTCTGTTTGTGAGAGCTGTCAAAGCCATATATGATCAAATACCCAGTTCCATAGAGACGCTCTCGACCCAAAACAGGACATCTGTGCTCTTGGTAGACGAGGCATTACGTACGCACGTGCACCTCAGAGGGAGATCTGCTTCACGGGAAACCATTCGGATGGTTCACGAGGAGAGGTCCACGTGATGACAAGCCCTCGAAAAACATTGAGCTACTCCTCGCGTCTTGTTCTGGGGCCTTCGTGTGTTTTGACTCATTAAACCCTCAATAATCTTGCAAGAGAGCAGCATTCTCAGAGAATAAATCCAAGACATAGAAAAATTAAGTTATGTGCCCAAAGTCACACAGCTAGTAGGAAATAGAGCCAAGAATTGAACCCAGGCAGCCTGGATCAAGACTGTGTATAGAAATTTGAATAAAGGGAGCTAGAACTCCCCCTGCTCGTCTCTCCTCTGAGAAATGAGGTAGAGACGGAAGGCTCTTCAGGAACATTGACCCAGTGACAAGAAGCTCTTCCACAGCCCTCCCTAAACCTCCACCCGCGCCCCCCAGCCCGTGTGGGAGATGGGGGAGGGGTCTGAGAGCCACGCTTCCCTGAGCTTCGCACTGTCCACATGGAGTACGGTCTTCACATTTTCAGCTCTCCTCTCAGAATGAATGAGGTCCCACAGAGGGGTAAGAATCATTAACTCTTCTTTTAGAAAATATCTATTTTATTATAAAAGCAGTGTTATTTATTCTTTTTGAAATAACTTTTTTTCTAGTAACAATAATACACGTTCACTTAAAATTTGGAAAAGAATGAAAAAGAGAACCAAGATCCCCTGTCATCCCACACAGAGGAAAACTTCAGTCTTCCCCATATCATAGAATGCAGTCGTTTATTTTTCCAAAATGACATAACAGCATGTAATTTTATATATACCTTTTTCTCTTAACAGTATGTTTCTATAACTTTTCTTATAAATAATACTGTCATTGGAGAACATTAGAAAATACAGATAAGCATTGAGGAAAATACAAATCACCTCTGACCCCACAACCCAAAGACAACACAACTCACATTCACGTTGTGTATCCTTCTGTAAAAGGAATTAGAGTGTACGGATTTCAGCCATGACTTAGAATTGCTAAATAGTGCCCCTCGATTGGCTACACTGTGGTCCTCTCATTTTAAACAGGTAGGTGTTTGCTTTTGTCTGACAAGTGGCGCTGTGATGAGTGCCTCTGTGGACACAGCTCCGTGTGATTTCTCACCGGTCCTTTAGGATGAGTTCTTACGAGTGGACTTCTGGTGTCAACATTTTAAAGGCTTGACACATGCGACTAGATTGCTCTCCAGAAAGGTTGTCCCAATCTATGCAGCTGCACTGGTGTCTAAGCTCTCCCACGATGCTGCACCCTTAGCAATGCTCTAGCATTAACCATCTTTGGAAATCTCACTGATGGGACAGGTGAAAGCATTCGTCCTGCTGGCACTGGTCATCAGCTTTTTCAAGGGAATTATGTAAACCTGGCAGGCAGATTACCCAAAACCACACTGAGAATTGTGAGACTAAGACAACAGCTTGAGACTGACTGCCCAATACTTAGCAAAAACAGAAGAGAGGAGCATCAGAAATAAGGAGACAAGTATTGCATCTGAGGCAACAGATGAGGCTAAGCTTCATCCCTTTGCAGGTTAGGAGAGGGAATAAAGGCTGCTAAAGTCTCTGAGGAGCCACCTGGGTCATGATTTGGGGTTTAGAACAGAAATGTCCTGGGGGACAGGAAGGAGGCATCAAACCCATCTGCCTAAGAGCCAGACTCCTTCAGCCTTCTGTATTTTGGGAGTATCTCTTCTTCCACCAAAGTTAAAAAAAAAATGCTTTTCTACATTTTTTTCAGACCAGAAGATTGTATCTGAATCACCACCCAAGCAAGACATTTCTGGAGAATCATTCCGAGACTCAAGTGTAGAGATGCCCCCTGGGGAGTTAGGTCACAGGAACAGTGCGCTGGGGAAGAGCTTCAATCTGAGACCAGTCCTCTCTCCACAACAGAGACTTGCCACAGAAGTGAGACCCCAGAAATGGGAAACACATAGACAGAGCTTCAGGAAGGAGGCAGACGTGATGAAACCTCACAGAGCAAAACCATACGCGTGTAACGAATGTGGCAAAGCCTTCAGTTACTGTTCTTCCCTTTCTCAGCATCAGAAGAGCCACACTGGGGAGAAGCCATACGAGTGCAACGAATGTGGGAAGGCCTTCAGCCAGAGCTCCTCTCTCATTCAGCACCAGAGGATTCACACTGGAGAGAAGCCTTACAGATGTGGTGAGTGCGGGAGAGCCTTCAGCCAGAATGCAAACCTCACCAAACACCAGCGGACGCACACTGGAGAAAAGCCCTACAAGTGCGGTGAGTGTGAGAAAGCCTTCGGTGACTGCTCTGCCCTCGTCCAGCATCAGAGAATTCACACCGGAGAGAAGCCCTATGAATGCGGCGACTGTGGGAAGGCCTTCCGACACAGTGCGAATCTCACAAACCACCAGAGGACTCACACGGGGGAGAAGCCCTACAAGTGCAGCGAGTGTGGGAAGGCCTTCAGTTACTGTGCGGCGTTCATTCAGCATCAGAGAATCCACACAGGCGAGAAACCCTACAAGTGTAGCATGTGTGGGAAGGCCTTCAGCCAGAGCGCAAACCTCACTAACCATCAGAGGACTCACACTGGAGAGAGACCCTACAAGTGCGGCGAGTGTGGGAAGGCCTTCAGCCAAAGTACGAATCTTATAATCCACCAAAAGACCCACACTGGGGAGAAGCCGTATCAGTGTAACGAATGTGGGAAGTACTTCAGTGAGAGCTCAGCCCTCATTCGACATCACATCATTCACACAGGAGAAAAACCCTACGAGTGCAATGAGTGTGGAAAGGCATTTAACCAGAGTTCATCCCTCAGTCAGCATCAGAGAACTCACACTGGTGTGAAGCCCTATGGATGTAGCGAGTGTGGGAAGGCCTTCAGGTGTAGCTCGGCCTTCATTAGGCATCAGCAACTCCATGCTGGAGAGTAACTGGGAACATGACCAAAGTGGACAGGTAAATGCAGGGAGTTTGAAAGCAGCTGGAGACATCTGACTTTGATAGTCTGTAGCCTAGAGCCACATGCAAAAGCACCTCTAATAAATCCTTGTTTACATACATGTTGGATGTGGGAGGTCGGGGATGCTCTTCCTTCTCCCTAACATCTTCAGAAAGCAGAAACCACCCAGCTCAGATCACCCTTAGTCACCTTTATTCAGTGGGCCCCAGTGCTCCTTGTGTAGCAAGCAGTCCAGAAACCTTGGTTTATAGAGAATAAGTCAGTGATCAAGTCACATGGGTCATGGACTTGGTTCCTACTTGGAGGCCAGGTAAGTTTGGCAACATTTGTAACCTCCCCTTCATCAAGGGCTGCTGCAGAACCAGGAACGCTGTAAATGAGCATTTCTGCACAATGGGGCCTAAGGTATCTAATTTGGGGGCAAGTCCAAGTGAGGAAAGGGGTTCTAGGGCCAACCATTAAATGCTACAGTCTCTTTCCGGGTAGGGGAGGGACCTTCACTCCCTAAGGCTGATGCTAGGAAAATCTAGTGCCGGCTGCACCTCCAGAAAACACCGACAGGCCTCATCTCCACTTTAACCCGTTCGAGGTGCACGTAACTGCTGTCAGGAAACAGCCCCAGAGGGAAGGACAGTGAGGCAGAGGATCCAGGAGGAAGCTAAAGAACTCCCAGCAAGGCACTAAAGGGAGACCCTAACAGGGAGGACCCACAAGATTGGAAGTCTGACAGCCATTCTTTCCGTGTGGGTGGGTCATTCTTCCTCCTGACAGAAAATGGTTGAATTTCATTTGGATCCAGATTTTGACCCCATTGGCCCGCTTCCTTCCTTGCATTTGACCCAGGTCCTACTGTGACACACATACCATCATCACACCCAACTAGTATGACCATCTCAGCAGTTAAGAAGACACTGCTCCCCTGGTTTGGGTCAGGTAAGCCTTTGATTTCCCAGGCAACTCCCTGTTCCTGGCCTGCTCTAAGGGAAGCTGGTTGTGCCTTCAGCTGTCATCGCCTAAGGCCTCTAGCTGATTGATTGGTCCTTGGTGACTTGCCACATGTCCCAGATTGCTGCTGCTACTGCCCCACCCCCCACCCCCCAGTCCCAAGTTTCTGCTCAAGGTAGTGCTCCAACCGTGAAGGCACCTGGGGTGATGAAATACTCTTGCTTAAAGGGACTACTGACAAAATTCATGGCAAAGCACAGTGACTAATGCCAGGGAAGTGAGGTTCCTGGGTTCATCATTCCCAACTCCCTTTAGTCAGGACCCTGAAGCCCCTCCCAGGTGGTGCTTCATACAACCCAGGTGTGGCCTATCCCAGCACCCAGAGGTCTCGCAGTTCACGGCTTCCTTCACTGCATATTGTCTACTAATGTCAAAGAAGTGATGAGCTCTAGAAAGTTGAGTCCAAAGGAACCGCGCTAAGAGAAGCTGAGGAAGAGACTTGGGAGAGGTGAAAACACATTAGGAAATAGCCTGTTACTGGCTTAAAGCAAATATGGTTGGAGAACAGTGGGGCCAGGAATCCCACAACTCAACTGACTTGACCTTCCAACTTTCACAGTAACTTGGATCTGTTAACGACTCCAACATCAAGGTCAGGTTCCTTTGTTGTCCATCAGTGGTTCTGAACCTTGGCTGTGGTGAAGTCTTGCAGGCCATGGGCCCCCAACCCACCAAATGATTCAACTGGTTGGGGCGGAGCTTCCTCCCTGTGTAGCCATGCTCAACTACAAGTTTTCTTCCCAGCCAACAATTTTTTCTTAGGAGGAGCTCGGGGAAAAAGCACTGAACTTCCTTCCTAGGTGTCTTCTGAGCCAGGCTCATACAGGGCAGAAATCTGTTACCCACAATGAGCTTGCTCCCCAGATAGCTACTTCCACAGGTGCCCACTGGCCACCTGACCACCATTTGACCACAAAGGAGCTAGCTCCTCCAAGAAAGAGGCCACATCCAAAAGCCCATTGGTTGTCAGGTGATCCTTTATTGAAGTACTGTCCTCACCAAGTCTTAACTCTGTGGGAAAGAAAAAAGAGACATCAGTTAACGGGACTAGAAATCCTTATCATCTGACCCCACTACTGACCATTTCTAGAACTTTCTAGCTTATCTCCATGAAAATGTTAGTTTCCCTCCAGCTTTTGCCTTGATTTTAAACAAACAAAACTGATGTAGAAGCCACTTACAGCTGGGCATTCCACAGCACCATTGTTGATGTCATCGATGACATCATGAGGGTGGCGACCATCAACGTTGCAGCCCACAGACTGGGCAGTCCCCAGGATCTCTTTAATGGTTCCTATGAAAAAAAGATGGCATTATCCGAGGGGCTGTCAGTGAGTCCCTCACAATCCTCACAAGCAGTGGAGTTTCATGGCAGGCGAGGAGAGGAATACCCCTATTTTACAGCACACCAGGAATAACCTAACATCCCTGCTCCAAATTCAGAGCCCCATTCAGTTCTCTAGGCTCTGAATGCAGTCTCCATGGGCCCCTCAACACCCAGAGCAAACACATCCAGCCCACACCCTCACACAATCTCAAACCATTCTTTCAAACCCAGAAGACATGGCACCCTCATTTTGGGTCTTACAGAGTAAAGTCCCCTTCAAGTGGGAAACCACTACTGCTCAGTGAAAACACACCCCACATCACAATTAAGGCGGTTCCCTGTCATCCCACTCTTACCAGAGAGTTCTCTGGCCAATGACCGGTGCCGCATCTGTCGAGCAATGTTGACAATCTCATCAAAGGTGATGTTTCCACTGTGCTTTACTGCAGAAAACAGCAAAAAGCTTTGTCACCAGCCGAGGCTGGAGCAGCCCACATCACATGCTCCCTGTTTCCAGGCTGTTCCCATGCTTTCGGCACAGAGTCATCCACATGAAGAACAACCCTGTTTCCTAAGCTGGGGTTTACTATCAGCTCACCACTGGATTGCACCAGCCAAGAGAACTGGTCAGGTGCAGTGGCGGGTGGCTAGGGGCCAAACCAAATCTTTGCCAACCTTACGTGGAAGAGACTGTTTCAGAGATGGGAAGAGACAAGCTTCCCTTACTAAGGTTAGTTGAGCTGCTGGGTGTCATCCAGCTCACAGCTCACCAGTGGCCTCTCCCGATTCCTGGTCATCATTCTCAGTTGCTTCCCCCTGCCTACTATATAGCCCTCCTGTGTGCTGTGAGTGGGACCAGCCCCACACCAGGGATCCTGGAGACCCACATGACACTTCTTAGTGGCTCCTGGCGTGGTCACAGCTTAACATTGAATGCCCATGCCATCCCTACGTTTCATTAAAGGGAAAACGTGCAGCAAAGTATCAAACCCTGGGTAGACACCACCACTCAGATTACCAGGCAAAAGGCCACTCACTGTTTTTCTGCTTCTTTCGGTCTCTTGGTGGTTCCTTGAGTGCTTTGATGATCAGGGCAGAGGCAGAAGGTACCACCTCAATCTGCACAAGAGATTCCAGTATGAGTAAACCCTACCCCACCCTCCAAGAACACGATCCATACAACTGTGCACCTCGCCTGAGACCACAGGCCAGACACCAGGTTTGCTATACTTTCAAGGAATTTTCAGTCGAAAACACATCCTGCCTGAGGAGGACTAAGTGATTTGCTCAATCTCACACAACTGACAGAGCTAACATTTGAACCCATGTCTTTGCACGCTCTCCAGAAAGCCTTGCCTACAGGAGCAAAGATCTACCCCCAGGAATCCCAGGGCGTTGCTACCTCTGCCCCCATCCCCCTGAACCAAGTACCTGAGCCTGTCGGTTCTGGATCGTCAGTTTCACAGTGATCCTCAGACCCTTCCAATCACCAGTTGCCTTGGCGATGTCATCGCCCACCTTTTTTGGAGACTGTAGAAATAAATGAATGGAATCACATTGTGCCTAAATCGAACCAGAGCCCGAAAATCTGCCCAGTCCTTCTCACTTGGCAGGATCCCACACTTTCTTTATCTGGCACAGAGAAGCTGTCAGCAGCACAGAACTGCACCTATCGGCTCAAGTTGTGACTGTCACCACAGTGTAAATTGGGAAAATGAAGCTGGGGGTCAAGAATGTCCAGGGCTCTAAGCCACAGGCTCAAGGCCACAAGGGGCCAAGTCCCTTAGCTGCCTACCTTCTCATAAGGACCTAGGTGGTAACGTAGGGACTTTCAACCAGTTATATTCCAGTTACATGGGGAACCTTAAAGATACTGGGTTCCTGTGTGAGACCAACACGAGTTCACCTGTGGGGATGGGCTCCTTTACAGCTCCCTAGTGACCACCAGCCTAAAGGCTCCGGAGACGTCCGGCGAGTGCCAGCTGAGCTAAGGGCCCAAGAAGGGCAGGAAGACTGGCAAGGGAAACTAAGCAAGGAGGGAGAGGTTTGGGACAGGAGACCGCTGTCCAAGGAGGAGAGGCCTCATGACATAAAATGGAAGAGGGGAGGCCTGTCAATAAGGCTGGTCAGGGGGCATGCCGGTCACATTAACCAGGAGACGGAGAGCAGAGCTCTTCACGAGCCACTGGAAGCTTCCCCAGAATCTTCATCCACGACCCGTGTCACCCTCCCAACAGCGACAGGTCCGCTTCCCCGACCAGGCAAGGCCAAGTAGGCCGCCAGCGTCACTAACCCTCTCTACTTCCAAACCCTCCCCCGTGGCCTCCTCCAGCCCTCCCTCAAATACGATGGCAGCAGGTAAGAGGCGTCGGAGAGGAAGCTCCGGCTTCAAGGGAGCAGGTTCTCTCCGCACGTCTAACCCTTGCACTGCGCCTGGCGCCACCTCCGCGCTCAGACCTGGTCGGGGACGGCATCCCTCCCCGCCACCGGCGCCTCGGGCACGCTGTCTGCACGAGCCCGAGATTCTCTGTGCTCTCCTCACCCTGGTTCATGAACGACCCCCCACCCCGCCCCGACGCCGACCTACCAGACCCAGGGGGCCGATCTTGGGGGCCAGGGCAGACGTGGCACCGACCTCCCCACCGGTGCACCTCAGGTACACTGGAAGAAAAGAAAGGTCAGGGCCCCAGCACAGGGAGCCCCGAGCCGCGGCCCTGCCCACATCCCTCCGGGGCCCGCCACGCGCCCTCCTGCCTCTTCTCGGAAGAGCACCGAGAGAGCCTCGGCGGGGAGCGAGGCGGACCAGGCCCCACACATGCACCCCCGCCCCCCCCAGCCGGCGAGCCGCCGCCTCCCCGGGCGCAGACCGCCCGCGGCGCCACGTGGGACAGCGGCGGCCTTTGGCTCGGTTGTGACTGCCCGGGCCGCCAGCCCAGCCCAGCCTCGCGGGAGAAGCGCCGGAAACAAACCTTACCCTAGGGCGTGCGGGCTGCAAAGCCGCCGCGGGTCGTCCGGTCCTCCCTCCCCACGTACACGGGGGGAAGCTGAGGCCCGGAAAGGCAAGAGCCTCGCCCAGGAGCCCCCAGCGCCCTGGACGCAGCGCCGGGGAGGCCTTTAGGAGGCAGCGGCCCGAAAGCCCGAAAACGTGGGACAGGCCATTGCGCGAGGGCCGCAGGCCCGACAGGCGGCGCGGAGGGAGGCCACATCCCGCAGCCCCGGCCACATCGAGAGCACGCACCGACTTTGATCTCGTTGGGGTCGAACTTGGGCGGCATGGTGGAGGCGTCTGGTGTCGGATGAACCCGGATTCGGGACGACCGAAGAGAGTTGCACCTTAGCCTCCTCCGAGCCGAGCGGAAAGACTGGCAGGCCTCTCCCTGGGACCTGATATAGACAGGAAAGCGCGGCTCTCGCGAGAACCGCCGTCTCCGCCCAGCCTCCCCGGGACGCCCTGCCCGCCATGTTGCTTGTGGGCAGGCGCCGGAGGCTGTCGGCTGGAGAAGCCAGCGCTGCGGTGAGCTGTGACCAGGGCTTCGGAAGTGGGGTTCGTGGCGTTTATCCCCGGGGAGGCAGAGAAGAGAAGGGTGCTCTCGACATCGTATGCCCCGCCGTTCCCCATTCTCCCTTATCTTGAGGGTCACCCGTGGTCCCTCTCACTCAATCCCAGAGCCCCGCCCCTCCTGTGAGGGTTCCGCACCCCGATTCTAAGACCCCGGGACCACAGCGACCCGGGCGCCCTTCTCACTCCGTAGTGTTGCAAGCGCTGTAGATATCGAAACAGTTTTATTTGGCTCTCAATCTGGTTCAACTCTTAATTCTGAGATTCTGCCGTTCTCAGAGTCTCGGACTTCGTCATTCTGGGCTGCATGACTTTCTGAGATCCTGAGTTTCGGTCCCCAGCTCCTGCGTTTGGAGACCAGACTCGGGCTCCGCGGGGGCCGTGCCGGGTGGTCTGCGACCCCGCGTCCATGACCAAGCCCTACGAGTGATCGGCCTGCCTTCAGGTCCACCCGAGGGGACGCTCGTCGGGGACCTGTCCACCTACAAAGCCAGGTCGGGCATTGCCCAGTCCAGCCAGGGGAGGATGGGTGTGGTTCTCCTCGACTGGGCTGGACGTCGGGGGAGGGGATGGATGAGGGATGGGCCTCGGGAAGCAGGTTGGGAAGAGCTGATCTTCTGGGAGGGATGGAGGGGGCACCGCCGTTGGGAAGGAGGTGGGGAGGGCTGGACTTTGGGGAGGGGGTGAGGGAGGGTTAGTCATTGGCGAGCAGCAGGGTAAGAGCTGGTCATCAGGGAGGGATGGAGGAGGGCTGTTTTTAGATTCTTCCCCATCCCTGCAGGCAGGTGAGGTGACCAGAGGGGCCTGAGCCAGCTCTGCAGGCTTGGCCGGCTCCCCAGATGGCTTGTGCCCCTGTGGGCGGAGAGTTGTGATCTCCACCCCTCTCCCTGAGGACTGGGCGTGTGTCAATAGCGTCTCCTCCCTAGCCCTCTTCCCCCTGCCTCCTTAAACTCGAGTAGATGTGTGGTGCTCTGTGGCTAACATTTATTGACCACTCGTTAGGTACCAGGTACTGTGCTGTGGCTTTACATATATGAAATCACTGGATCCTCATAGAACCAGGTGTTGGTAACATTATTACTCGTCCACACTTTACAGATGAGGAAACTGAGGCTCAGAGAGCTGAACCAAGGTGACGTGGTTGGCAGGTGGCAGATATGGGATTCAAGCTTAGTTCTATTTCATCCCAAGGCCTGTGCTGTTGACCAGAAGCTTCCCTGGAGGATTGCTTCCTGACCCATCCACGTCCCTTATCAAGCTCTGATATTCACAGATACCGGACAGGCAGTCAGCACCTGGCCTCTGCGTTCAGGACAGCGTACTGTGTGTTTGCTGAGGTGTTTGAGCACCAGGGAGTCGGGGGCAAACTTCACAGGATCAGGACTCGAGAGAGCAGAGTTTCAGACTGGTTTTGTTACAACCCAGGCTATATAAGCAGATCTCTGAACTTGAGAAGCATCAGTTTCATCACTCTAAACAGGGCTGTGGTGAGAATCAAATGGAATAATAGCTGTGAGAGTGGTAAGGTGCCTGAGGATGGCTTTTGAATTTTTAATTAACTCAGTGATCGCTTTGGTTATGATGTAATTGAGCTCCCCAAGGTCCTGGCCGGCTGGCGCTCTGCCGGGTTTGGTTTGCTGATGCCACTCTGACAGTGCTTCCGGGGCTGGAAGTGATTCATCAGCTGAGGCTGTTAGAGTTCTCAAGAGCATCCTTGGAAAGGACCCTAGGAAACTTCTCCAGGTCAACCCCCTTGTCTAACGTGGAGGAGAGATGGGGGCCCAGGATGGGAAAGGGTGTGCCAGGGTCTCACAGTGGGCCCGTGGCAAATGTGGGCCGGAAGCCAGGTAACCTCGCTTGCCATTGTGCGCCTTCCACCACACCTGCTGCCTATTGTTTAGTCAGCAGAGAACAAAGAGTATCAAACACCTGCTGTGCCGGACTCAGGGCGCAGATTGATGGTCAAGTTGGACGCAGCCCCTGCCCTCAAGGAACTTATAGTCCAGCACTTCAGCTGCAAGTTCTGTGTTACCGTGCTTCCTGTTCTGGGTGTTGGGGGCTGTGACAGATTCCGCAGGCCCTCACTTCTCTCCTGTGCCCTAGTGTTGTGAAGATTGCCCCGGGAAAAAGGAAGGATGCCGCTCTTCTTCCGGAAGCGGAAACCCAGTGAGGAGGCTCGGAAACGCCTGGAGTACCAGATGTGTCTGGTGAGGGAGAATGGGTTTTCCGTCCCTATCTTTGCCTCTGCCCCGTGAAACAGGGCTCCATGCCATCCCCAGACAAGCCGTGCTCCCTCCCATCTGTTCCCCCACCCCCAGAGGAAATCTCTGACTCGGGCCCCCGTCAAGTGCTCAGCAGTGCCTTCACTTTCTCCCCGTAGACACACTTGTCATTACTTGTCCGTTTGCTCTTCTCTGCTGGACCTCAGGCCTTAAAGCAGGGATCCTTGGTCTCCCTGCAAAATGGACTAGTTGAACCAGGTGGTGTCTGTGGTCCCTTGCAGCTCCTTAATTCTATGTTTCTTTACCTGGTTTGTCCACTTTTTGTTTTGTTTGAACACTTTTTTTTATTTTTTCTTTTTATCCTTAGGCAAAAGAAGCTGGGGCAGATGACATTCTTGACATTTCTAAATGTGAGCTCTCAGAGGTAAACTGGGGTGGTGTTCTGGCTGTGAATTTGATCTGTCCTTTCTTCTGGGATCACGTGTCACTAAGAAAGACACATGTGGACCCGGGCTCCAAAGAGGCCAGAAGCACTAGCCAAGAGATGTTTCCTTCGGTTTCGCTCTCGTCCAAAATAATCGAGATGATCTTTTGGTCAACATAGTCTTCAAGAGTCACGGAGTCTAGAAAACGTACCCACAGATTCCCACGGCACTGGGAGAGTCTGGGGTTCCTCAGACTCTGCAAAGCACCAAAGATCTATCTTTTGCCCCTGATAGAGAATTCATGGTGATGATGGATTAGGTGGGCCAGGGCCGGCCAGGGCACTCTCCTGCCAGCTAATCGAAGGCAGGCTGACATCCCTCACCAGCTCTTCCCCTGAGCTTAGCGCTGTTCTCCACAGGAGCTTTTTGCACCTGTTCACCGTCTGCCCCATCTCTCCCCCACGTGAGTGGCACTCAGAAAGCAAATCAAAAACTGGCCAGAGAGAAGGCACTAACTCTTCTTTATCTTATCTTAGATTCCATTTGGAGTTTTTGCAACATGCAAAGTTCTACAAAAGAAGGTGAGACGGGTCTTCATTTTCAGAGCATTGCTTATTGCATGTTTGCTTGTTTAAAATCGGGTGGGACTTTTAGGAGCTGTGTTGCTAGCACAGACATCTCCCTCCTGTCTGATTCTCACCCTTTCAGCCTGCAGCCCATGTTTTCACAGTTGGGAAAGCTGGCTTTAGCATCAGAAGGCCCTGGGTCACATCCTGGCTGTGCCACTCATGACTTGGGCAACTTCCTTAAACTCTTACATCTCAGTTTCTTCATCTATGAAATGAAGACATTCATAGTTCTGCTCTTAAAAAGGTGTTGTGAGAACTAAATGAGTGACAGATAGGTGGGTAGGTAGGTAGACAGATAAATAGTGATAGAGATAAAAATGCACAGCGTGTAATGTCTGCCACACAGTAAACACTGAATAACCTCATTGTTATTAATAATAAAAGTTGCACTCATTTCATTCTCATCACCCGGAAGAGATTAAGAGTAGAATGAATGATTTTTCAGAAAGGCATTGCAGTCCTGAATGCAGGTGGGTAAGAGTATTCCAAATGAATTATCTAAATGAAGGTAGGTAAAGTGTGTTCCATACCAACAGAGTAGTGAGCTCTTTGACATCGGCAGTATCCATGCAGGGGATGCCTAACAAAAATAGCAGTAGGTGACCTGGACTGAACACTGGACCACGTGCCAGCCCCGGGCTGAGTGCTTTTGGTCCTTTAGCTTGCTCATCAGCTTGGCAGCCCTCAGAAGCAGGTACTTTATTATTCTCCTTTCCACATAGAGATGCTGAAGCTGAGGACAGTTAAGATCAGGACAGCTGCACAGGGACCCCTTCTCAGGATGGAAGGTAGAATTAGGCCCCTAAGGTCCCTTTCACCCTTGAAATTCCAGATTTTAAGGTCATCTGATTCCACGTTCGGAGATCCCGTGATTCTGCACCGCGCCCCCCCCCCCCCCAGTTGTAGCATCTGGGGGCGCAGAGAGCAGAGAAGGCTGGGCTGGGCGAGCCACCGAGCATCCCGTGCTGACTTGGCTCCCCTGCCCCCAGCCCCTCCACCCTGCTGCTCTTCTTCAACCGAACCTGCCGCAAATCTTTTCCACACAGGTGTTGATTGTCCACACAAATCACCTCACTTCCCTGCTTCCTAAATCCTGCAGCCTCCTGAGTCTCGCAACCATCAAGGTACTGGGGCCCTGCCCCCAGGCGCCGGGCACTCTGCATGCCGTTCCAGGTGCAGCCAAGCATTCTCACTCCCTTTGTGTCTCCTCTAATAAAGTTTATGCCAGGTGGCTCTAACATAGTAGTCAGTCTGGGTTTTGATCAGCATAGTTTATTGGGCCCCTTCCACGTGCTGTGCATGGGGTGGGGTTACAAAGAGAACCAGCCACAGGCCCTGCCATCAGGGAGCTTACCCGATAGGTGGAAAGACAAACCATAAACTACTGGCAAGTGAGCCGGCGGAGAGCAGGGAAACCGATGGTCCCAAACAGGAAGAGGAGGGACGCCGTGTGGCGTGTGGTCAGTGTGCAAGGGCCCTGTGATCCGAGGCGACTCTCTCCTGACTGTCCGCTCCTCCAGGACAGGGACCGGGATGTATTCACAGGAGACGTGAGGTG